TTGGCTGGCTGTTAGCGCGGCAAAATTAGTGACCAACTATTTTTTTTTTTTTTTTTTTTGTAATTGTTGCTTCCATTTTTTATTTTATTTTTTTATTTTTTTCCCACCATATCTAAACTACGCTTTTGTTTTTGCATTTTTCAGCTGCTAAGGAGTGGTCGCCTAAGATCGTGCCATTGCTTTACGTTGCCGCAAGCAACAACCATACTGCTATTAGCTACTCTAATGTTAATAACAACAAATTTGCGCTATATTAGCTTTTGTTGTCTGCAGCCAGCGACCGTCGATAATCAAATTAAATATTTGCACAGCTGAGCGCAAGGTTTGACATAGCTTTTGAACACACGCCTCCTCTACCCGTCCTCCTGTCTCTCTCTACCTCTTCCACTATTTTTTTTTTTTTTAAAGGCGGCTGCTGCTGTTATTTTATTTATTTGCAGCATAGCCGTTGCTCTGTTAGTTGTTGCATTTGTTGCAGCTATTAACGTGCGAGAGAGATCAAGGATAGGAGGTCAAATGTGCAAAATTACGCCACTGTTTTAGAGGCTACCCCGTCCATGCTGTGTTGTTAGTGGTAGCGGCTGGTTACAAATTGTTTTCATTTTTTATTAAGAATGCCTTGTTTTTCTGTTGTTTGTTTTTAGGAGAAAAAAAAAATCGATTTTAAAAACAAAATTGTAGTTTATAATGTTTATAAAACATTTTTGATAATTTGAAAAAAAAAATTCAAAATGCAATAATTTTCCTCAAACAATTACTTCTGAGATTAAAGCCAGCATCTTCTGTCCTGCAACGGGTTGTGCTCTTGGGTGGCAACCAGAAAATTGCACCGCAACTAGCAAGATAAGAGATTCTTTTCAGATGTGAAGCATCAATCTGGTTTTTCGGGAAACCGAATGTGGTTACGGCTATTTTATCCAGGTTTTTGTTCCACCACGTATTCTATCTGGTCTTATGCTAAATGTTTTCGACACAGGATTCACAATGGCTGAGGTCAATGGTTTAGCTCAGTTCAAGGTCGAGTAAATTGTATACCTTGCGTTTGCCAATTTTTAAGGGAATCCTGCAGAAGTACATCGTATAAACCCCGGCCTGTCGCGCTTGGTCTTTGGTAGGCGTTAGCGGTTATTCAAAACAGATGTGCATATGCTCTGATAATGAAATATTTCCACAGGCTCCTGTAGAGGCAGCGACTCAAAATATGTGGGATCAGCACAAATGCGCGCTGAGCAATTGATTAGCGCTTGCGTGTTTTCTACGTGAGTTACGTCCACTTTCACTGCGACCAGGTCCTTACCGCGCCACCCCCGTGTTCGACGTCGCGCTCGCGTCTCCCGCCCTCTCCCCTCCTTTCGCAATTATGCACTGGTGGCATTATAACCGTTTAGAAAAAAGGAAAATAATAAAATAACTTCTGAAACTGCTTTTTAATGTTCAAGTAATGGGAATTATTGTGTATGGTGTTATTGAAATTGTATTTGAAAAAAAATCAAATCAGCTGCTATACAGACATGATGCAATAATACAAGGTGGTATCAATTGTGACAGCTCGATTTGACACTGCCTTAGCTCAGTAGAACGAGAAGAAAAACGAGAAGAAATTAAGCCCCATTTGAGGGAAAACTATAAAATTTCAAATTTTTTCTAAACAAAATTTGCTTTCTTATAGTATATTCGAAATGAAATGAAATAAAATAAGATAAAATACCTTTTTAAGAAAAAAAATGTGTATACTGAGAAAAAATAAAAAATATTCAACTATATTATGAGGCAAAGAATTGTTAAAGAAGTAACACTGTCTCACCTAAGGCAGTCAATATGGCGGAATTAGAGCGAGAAGTTGCCAACCGATAACACCTTATATTATTGCATCATGCTATACAGATACTACCTGTTCAATGTGCCTTGATTTAATTGTATTTTTGGAGTAAACAGAGTTCTTTTTCCTTCTGTCAATAAACTGGCCTTTTGCCGCCTACAACCGGGGAAATGGATTTTTCTTAGATGCTTTTATGAAGGCACGTAAAGGCATGCGGGGAGGTTCGCTACTGCCTACCGAAGGGCAACCGCCTTAGCAGATGTTGGATGTTGCTCCATCCATGCTAAAAGTTCCATCTTTCTATCTTTTGTCCCTAGATAGGAGATTATTTCTAACTGACAAATCATTTAATTTCCATCGTAGCTTAATGCGAGGATAAAGTTCAAAAAGTGCGAAGCGCAATATGTAAATAAGTATTTGCATAAATTACATTTGATATAAAATACTCATTAAAAAAAATTAAAGAAGCAACATTTTCACATATTTACTAGCGCAACAATTAACCAATATTATAAAAGAGCTCAAGTTACATACAAGCGATAAGATGCAATTGCATTTATTACTCGTGTCGAAAAAACGCGTATGTTCACATGCACATATGTATATCATCTATGCTAATTCGCAATAAATACATGTCAACATTCAAACTTTGTTGTATGTGTACATGTGTGTGCGTGTATGAAATTTGCAACTTCCAGATTATACTTTATTGTACACTTAGTTTGTATAATTTCATGCAAATTATATGCAATTTTTATTGGCACCTTTTTGCGTTTCTTTTTTTTATGCATATCTGCATACATATTTAGTTTTCGATTCTTATTTCCTTCTTTTCTCTCTTGCTCTTTGACGCCTTCTTATGCTTCATTGATTTTTATGAGTTTTTTGCTGTTTGCATTAAAACGTTTTAAATGCATTAAGAGGTACTTGCATTTCATTTACCTACATTCTTGTTGTTGTGTTGTTGTAGTTGCCTGCTTGCGTTTAATTTATCATGCCGATGGCACGGCTTGTACATGTGCAATATTTGTGGAAATAAATTTGCAACTTCAGAATATGGGTGTGTGTATGTGTACATATGTATGTGTGTGCCAACGCCTGCAAGGCGCTTGCTTTCAGGTGTCCAGTGATTTCTGCTTGAGTTGCCGCTAATTAGCTGATAAAATAAATAAAAATGCAGATTTGTTAGTTTTGAAATTGTACACCACTTGAGCTGGTGAAGTATAGCTTACTATAAATTTACATACATACATTCATATGTAAATATGTATGGGCAAGTGGAAATGTAGGTGGCTACGACAATTTTTTTTTTTGTGTAACGATGCGCAGGTGGCGTTGGTTGAATAATTTTGTAAGCGCTTTTTTTGCAGTTTAACAACAAACTTAAGTTTTCAGCAAAGAATAAAGCATTTATAGTTTAAGTGCAGTATACAAAAAAAAAAATTAAAAATTTTAGCGAAACAGTTTTACTGGTTAAGGACCTACTCATGTCTTTTTTCAAAATTGAAAAGAAATTTAACATAACGAAAAAATTTTAAGAAAATTCTTTTACACTTAACGAAAAGTCTTTAACCCTTAACGAAGAATTTGTTAATCTCAACGAATAGTTTTTTGACTACGAAGAATTTTTTAACTTAAGGAAGAATTTTTTGAACCGAAGGAATAATTTGTTAAACTTAACGAAGACTTTTTTAAACTTAACGAAGTTTTTTTTATTTATAGTTTTTAAACTTAACGAGAAAGTTTTCAATCTAACCCAAATATTTTTTTAAACATATCGAAACATGTTCTTGTTTAACGAGAACAGTATTAATTTTAAGAAAAAAAAGATGTATACAAATTGAAAAACCTTACATTGTACCATAGGAGTATATAATGGAAAAACAATTTAACTTAACGAACCGTTTTTTATACCTCACGTAGAATTTTCTTCAGCTAACGAAGAATTTTTTTACTCTTAACGAAGCATTTTTTAAACCTAACGCAGATTTTTTCAACTTAAGAAAGTGTTTTTCAACTTAATCTCAATTTTTTTAATAATCTTGAGAAATTTTTAAATCTAAACGAAATATTTTTTTTAATATTATCGAAAAAAAAATAAGAAGATAAAAACCTTACAAAGTTCGAATAATTTCTGGTTAAGGATATCGATTCAATAAAGTTTATTTATCGAAAATTTTTTGAGGTAAACGAAACCGCTGTTTGTGTAACTGATCAGCTATAAACAATATTTTTACTAGAGAAAATATCATTAGCCTCAAACGAAGCTATTATAAACTCAACAAATTTCTTTAAATTAGCGAATATTATTTAACTTTTTTTTTTTTTGATATTTTGAGCTTAATAAACGTTTCCCAAACTTAACGAAACAATTTTAAACTTTTTCAATACTTATGAAAGACCATTATTTTTTATTAGCAATGTCTATCTTAACGGATATTGAAGATGGTATGAACTTAACGATTGACTTTCTATGTAATTTTGAGTTACATGAAATCACTTTTGAGATTATCGATCAGTAATTAAACTTAACGAAAAAATACTTAGCAATAATTTTTCATGATTTTAAGCTACACGAAAGCTTCTCAAAACATACCAAAAAACTTTAACAACTCAAATTCGTTCAGTACCAATGAAATTAGCGATAATGGAGTGCTACATTTAAGGATAATGTAACACTAAACGAAGCTATTGCATATTGCCCGAACGTGTTTTAAACTTATCGAAAAAATAATAAAGAAAGCATTTTTAAGCTTAGTTTTATAAACCTAAAATTTTTGTAACTTGTCGAAAATTAATAAAAAATGTATTTTAACCAAGAGTTTGTAAACTTAACAAAGCACTTTTTAAACTTAACGAAACTTTATTTTATTTGTATATGAATACGCACGTACTCATATTTGAACTCAGTGCAACAATATAAGAATCTCAATGAAACTTCACTCAATTAGAAAAAATTTGATTACCTAAAAAATTTGACTGAAAATTCACAAAAGAATACCTAACATCCGATAAGTTTCAAAATAATTTATCTGCAATTGAATGCAAATTTTAACTTAACGAAATTACTTTCCGTTCGAAATTAATATTAATATCATAATTTCGAAAATATTAAATTAACGGATAACTTTTAACATGACTTAAATTATTTCTCTTTTTTCTGTTTTCTATTATATCTTAGCTCAACGGATGTTAATCAAGCATCACATTTGCGTCCAATGCAGAGGTATTGAAAAATGTATGTCGCAGAGAAATTCAGAACTTTTACCATGTAAATATTTTTTTAATTTGCATATTTATGGTTCAACCTAATTTCGTGACAATATTCTACAATTTCATGCAAATTTTTTAAATAGCCAAAAATAATAAGAAACTCATCCAAATAATTTAAACTTAACGAAACACCAAAACTTAACGAAACGCATTTACTAGCTTTGAAACTATAATTTGAAGTAACATTAAAACCCGTGAATCCTTCTAGACTACAGTTTTAACCTAACGAAACCTTTAAAACTTAACGAAACATTCAAAACCCCACAAAACTTGTGTAATGTGCAGAAAACAGCTTTTTAAATAACACTAGCAGAAGAGAATCAGGTTGTCAACCACAAAATTAAACGAGTTATTTTCTAAACCTAAAAAAATTTTCCATAAAATAAACAAATCGCAATTACAAGCCAAAATGGTAATTGAATAATCTAAATTAGCAATTTAACAAGTAGCATCATACACATTTCACTCTTACTTTTATTTTTTAAAACTTTAGTTCCATCAATCACTAACACGCCCGCATCTTCTTCTCTTCCAGATACGCCAGCCTTCCAATATCCACCACCAGCCAGTCCATGCTGCCATGTGCACAGCCCCTCGCCATTTACCACAGGCAGTGTCGGCGGCGGCGGCGGCGGCGGTGGCGAAGTATTCTTTCCACACAACCGCAGCACACCACGCACCCCACGCACCAGTGTTAGTTTCGCGGCCGGTGAGGAAACCACATTCTTCCGCCATCACAATGTCAGTGGCGGTTGCAGTAGCAGCGCCCCACACCTGCAGCCACCACAATCGGCACCACCAATGCCACCCAGTAGTCATGCCGGTGCGCATAGTCAAACAGCGCCACAACAATACCAGCAATATTCATATCCACACTATCAGTATACACCACCACCGACACCGCTCACAGCCAATGCCAGCACCAGCACAAGCACCTGCACCGGCACCGGCAATATGTTCGGTTCAACGGAGGCGACAACGCATCAGCGCACTTGTGTAGCGTCGACGTCAACATCGACGCCGTCCTGTAGTTCGAAGGGACATGCGCGATTGCATCGCAGCTTCTCAGATGCACAGAAGCGGTGAGTAAATAGCAATAAAGAAGAAACATTACTTTGTATAAGAAAAGTTTTCAAAAACTTAACGAGGGGTTTTCGAACATAAAAAATATAATCCTCGAATAGAACTAAGCTATCTAAGCTTAATAAGAGTTTTCGAAACTCAGCGAAAGTTTTTTAAAACTTAACGAAAATTTTGTAAAAACCTAGCAGAAGGTTTCTAACAAAATCATAGATGACGTTGGTTTTGTAGTTTACGCAACTTAACGAAAGCTTTCAAGATTTAAAACAATATTTTTTTTTTTATGATCTCTACGAGCATCTTTAAAAATGAACGAAAATTTTCAAGACCTTAACTAAAAACTTGCAAACTCAACGTAAGATTTTGAATTTAAGTTTTCGTATCTATACTCAAGATTTCAAAACTATTTAACGAAAGCTTTCAACCACGAAAGTTTTTGAAACTGCGCAAACTTTTTCACAACTTAACGAAAGTTTTCAAAGCTCAACAAAAGTTTTCAAAACTTGACGAAAATTATTCAAACTTAACGAGCGTTTTCCAAATCTAACGAAAGTTCTTGAAACTTAACGAACGTTTTTGATACCTAAGGAAATTGAATTAACTACATTTTAGCTGACAAGAGTCAACTTAGGTACAATCATACTTACATACTAATTTTGCCATACTTATTTTGTGATTAAATCACATACTTAAAATACTACTTCAACTCATTATCAGCTCAAATATTCTAAAAATTTATATTTCAATTTGTAGTTTAAATACTCATTTTATTATCGCCTGGGAACGCCTACCCTATACAGTAGTGCTACAACAATACACATAAAATCCAATAAAGCGCCAACTGCTGATGATAATCAAATGAGAATGCACAAAAGCGTAGCGGGCGTAGAAACAAACGCCATGAAAGCTCGCGATCAACGACCGGCTGACTGGCTGCTAGCTGGCCGGCTGCATGCGACGACAGCAGCTCCCGCAACGCATTAATGCGCCATTTAGATTGCGAAATCTCACTGCGCCTCTAGTATACAGACATACATACATATATGAGTGTGCTAAAAATATCAATTCCCATGACATCTTTTCACGCACCAAGTGTGTACTGCGCGTCAATGCTCTCGGTCAGTTGGTGACAGCACCAGCTACAGGCGACTTATACAAGCCCCCAGCTTCCAATTGCTATCAGCTAAACAGCCGCTCATCAGCCGGCGTTTGAGGCTTGATGTTAATTACAGTACTAGCAGCACATACATACATACATATGTATCGACATGACCAACGACAACTTGCTGTCAAGATAATACCTACTACCCCCACAACGGAACGGCTCTTCGGCGCATATGTCGATCGGCACATATGTCGATCGGCACATCTCGATCGTCGCCACTTTATCGCCACATAAATATTTCATCATGGGAATGAGTACAGTTGCTTGATTTCTTCTCACCCCTTCTCGTCACCTTCATTCAGTTATGGCACATACGCTTTTACGCACAATTATTGTATTTTATTGTGCGCTAATTGCAATTTGTGTATTCTGATAAAATTTTTAAATTTATTACACTCGCTTATGAGATTTCTTAAGAATTCAGCATGATTTTCACTTTCTTACATTTTCATATTATTGCTGATTTTTTTATGTTTTCAAAATGATTTTTCCTTTTAGATGCCTTGCATTGTTTCAGCGCTTTTAATTTATGTCTATTTTTTTTGTTTTGATTTTTTTAGCTCGCGTCGCACATCAACCGCAAATGATGATGAACGCGAGTGTCATAGTGAGCATGAAACCAGCTGGGATGAGTTCGATGATCGTTATGAAAATTTTACAGCAGGCCGTGAACGTTTACAGGAATTCAATGGGCGAATACCGCCGCGTAAGAAGAAAAAGGATGTGCCAAAATCGAAGTCAGAAAAGAAGGTGAGTACAAAAAAATAGGGCTGATGAAATGAAGTTTATTCTTTGAAGGCCAATCTTGAAGACCGTGTGAATGAATATCTTAACCTTGTACTAACTCAGCTGTCCGGCAAACTATCCTTACTCAGACGCGTCTATCTTTTTTGGTCTTAACTGTATTGCTTAACAGCTTAACATCCGAATAGAAAAATAGGCGCGTCTGGGTTAGGATAGTTTGTCTGACACTGTCGAGTTAAGGTAGTATTTCACGTGGCGTCAATTTAGACGGCTATCGACCAGTTAATTCTTGAATGCAATTCACTTCTGCATACGCATTTCTAAATATCAGAGTATTGATCAAACAGGTCTTACTGTAACTTTGCTTGGCCTTCCTTAATATCGAGTGGACTTTTAATAAGAGAAAGCCGCAAGTTTTCTAGAAAAACTCAACACCTCTATTTTATCTACATATGTAGCGGCATGGGACACGACATCTATCCAGAGAGGAGTGAGATGAGCTACAGAAAAGGAGGAAACTTCCTACCACTATTTTGCGTTATTTTCGTCAACAACCTGTTGGAGACTCTGCAATTATTGTCAGAGGAAAATGTTAAGATAACCTGTAGGAAATTTTTCAAGAATACCTGAAGTTTTTTGTAAACAGGGACTTGGTGCAAGCCCTTATAAAACGGTGCTCGCTTCTTGAGCAAATATTTAGGCGACTTCTAACACTAAGCGCCGAAATGCTGGCTACACCCCCGATAAGCTTACATCCAAATAGCGATGTGAACTCATATCTTTCTATTAAAGTATTTTTGGGCGTTATTAAAACGTGACATCTGCAAAGAAGGTACTCTTCGGTTTCCTGTACTTTTACTTCCTCCAGCTTCCACAAAATTCATTGTAGGTAATACCCAGGCTTCTGGCGTAGTTGCCAACCGGCCAACGCCTCTGTATCAGTCGGCTCTCAACAGGAAAAGGACCCTTAAGGTCCTGTAGAATTAAATTTCGGTCTTATATTGGACGGCATTTGAGAAATTATATTACTATGCTATTCAGATTGAAGTGATTTATGTTTTGTGAAGGTGCCTAGGGAAATAGGTTTATATAGGCCATCCATTCGGTAAGTCCTTAAAGTTTCGACGCATTTGGCCCTCAAAGCTCTTCCCAGTTTTTAATGGTTATACTCGTACTCTAAATCTGAATACTACGATACTGTAACATAAAATCGAACGAACTGCTACTGGGTAGATGTACATGCTGGGCAGATATACGTGGGGTTATACCTTTTGGGCAAGGGGCAATACTGAATGAAATGATAAGGAGTCGGCTCAATGAAATTAAAGTTGACATAGAAGTCATAACTGATTATTTTATGCCTGTTTGGCACTTCAATATAAATGGGATCCAGAACTGCCAGTAGCAGAGGGGGGTATGTATATTCATCTGCACTGATGATTCAAAGATGGAACATGGAACCGAAGCCGGTGTCTACTCGAAGTAACTGCAGATCAACCGGTCCTTCCGTCTACCGAACGATTCCAATCTCTTCCAAGCAGTGTAAATGTGTAAATGAGTCGCCTCATTAGATGGCCAGAAGCTGTTCAGTGAGCGGATAGCCACTGTTGAGTAATCACGTTAGGAAAATTGATGAGTAAAGTTGATTATACCGTGGCCGCGACTCGTGACTGTGGTACACACGAGAAGACTGTGAGATCACAAGATTATTATGGCCGCGGCTTAGTAGGAAAACGACAAGGGCATATTGAAACTCAATAGATCTGCAGTAAGAGTCCTTACCCGCATCATAACAGGACACTGTGCTAAAGCATCAATGCTTCAATAGGCTGCCATGATGAGCAGGAAGAAGAGTCAATTGACCACATTCTGTGTCGATGTGCGGACTACAGACGAAGCGCTTCAAACACTTGGGTTTACGCTTCTTCCTCGGCTGCATAAGGGATAATAATTCGGTTCAGTAGAATAAGGACTTGAAGCTACCATTTCGATTATAGGTACGTGTGTCCTGGACATTTCTGTCTCCGAGTAAAAATATGGCATATTCCACACACGCGCTACTAACCTAAACTAGCAATGACACTCAGATATGGTCAACTGACTTCTAGAATTTCTTTTCGCTATCATATCGAGCCCAAGGCGCCAAAATAAAGTAAGCGCGACATTTTTTTTTTAATCTTTCATTTCTGCATCAAAAGCAAAATTTTGAAAAAAAAATTACGCTTACGTTATTTTGGCAGTTAGGGCTCGATATGTTTTAGTATATGGAAAGTTGTGTGCCTTGTTCTGCATTTACTGTGCTGTTGTGGTATGAATTTATTGTCAAGGCGTGTATATATGTTTTAGACGGGACCAATTTCTTTTACATGCTAGCCTGAAAGTATACCTCCTGTGCCTACTTAATAATTCCTCAGCTGTTTCGTTGTTGTAAATACTGAAAAGGCCCTCAACCCAGCCAAGGGAAAACCAAATATGTCTTCTGAAGTGACACGCGCTCTTCTATTTTGCAGTTTGTCAGTAAAAAACCGTAAAAAAAGTGCTTTTCGACTATCCTTATAGATTCTTTTAAATCCTTAAAGTAGCGCTTGAATTATGTTTCCATATAATTTTCTAGTTTCGAGTCGCTGGCATTGTTGGAAATATTAGAACAGATGAAGTGTATGTAGTCGTCAAGCTGGAAATGGATTTCTATTAAATTTTTCTACCTCTTTTCCAATATTTATGAAAATTCCATGGAAAAAGTCTTTTAGGAATTAGTAATTGAACAGGCTGACCCTTTATTTATTTGCAAAAAATATGAACTTTCTGAGAATATTCGAAATCAGAAGTAAGAATTTGAATAAATATTCAATTCAAGCGTTTATCCTTTAGTAGCTTCTAGAAATTTATTTCTGCTGCCCTATGGATAAAAATGGATAAAGTGCTGAATGAACAGCTATAAAGAACATATATGTATATTAAAAAAAACTTCCATAACAACCTTTGTACACATAAATAGTAAATATAAGTAGAATATCAGCCCATAACTACAGGTGTTCTTTATTATTCAAGTCGTAAATTGCACCATTGTGCAGGGCACAAACAAACTTATTGCATACACACATATATAGTGTGTGGAAAAAAACTTTAATATGACACAGTTCATTCATTTATAGACTTACATGAAGAACGCTCTTTAAAATTCTTTGTTTTCGAAACACTTGTGGGCATATGGAAAACAGCAAGAAATAAACCTGCGAGCGCAATTTCTGCACAATAAGTGATGAGCGAGAAATTAAAAACTACTGCAAAATAAAATAGTGGAAAAAAGTGGGTAGCAAATTTTATTACGCTGCAGCAACACTAAATGCAAAATACAAAATCCAATCTAAGTCACAGGCGTGCTAATAGATATGCGGGCCAATGGACACGAGCAACCGCTCAATCAACCCACTCCGGCTGTTGCCCCGCACCCCCCGTACATATGTACGTATGTATGTGTGCACAGTAGGGTAGTCCAAAAAGGCATGGTGAAAAACAAACCATCTAGAATTCAGCTATATCGTAAAAAATATACCTCTGTTTTTTTTTTTGTTATTAAATAAAAAATATTTAGAGGTCTATTTTTTCGTTAGGGGGTGAGAGCATTAAAATTGCGACTTTGTTTTCCTTTTTTTTTTTGTACCACCCTAATGTACAGTAAAATATGTAAGCGCGCTAGCTAACAAGTCAGCCCGCACGGTGTACAGTCATTTGAAAAGCAAGCAGGTTTCTAGGCGCTTCCACGCGGTGGCACGTTGCGGAAGCGCGCGCGCGTCAATTCTCAGTTTTTTCCCCTTGTTTTGATACTAGAGTTCGCTTACTTTATTGACGCCGCCAAGCTGCGCAATTAAATTTTATCGCGAAAAATACGAATTTTATTGTCATTTGAATCCGCAACACCGGCTGGTGGCTAGCTGATTGCCTGCATTGTCGCCTCACTGGCTGGTTGCTATACTTTTTCCAGATTTTTTATGACCAGCGCTTCTAAACAGAAACTGCAAATCTATGCAGTTTTTACGAGCGCTTTGCGATTTGCTTATTTTTGACGTTAATTTAATTTATTTCAATTAAATAAAAATTTTTTTTTTGTTTTTTTTTTGTTTCAGTTTAATTCTTTGTTGATTTTATTATCAGTTGCTTGTTGCTTTGTATAGCAAATAAGAGCTTTTTAACTGCATAAAAACTTTTTGTTAAAAAAGATAGTTTTTCGTAGATATTTTTTTGCTACAAAAACCACTTTCAGCAACTTTATGTCGCTGACTCATTGCAGCCTCTAGGCTCACAGCTGTCATTGTAATTGGTACATAAGTACTTGCGTTGCAGTTTTTTTTGCACAAGTTTCTTTGTATTTTTATTTTTGAAGCGATAAGCAATTTTCTGCAATGCCTTTATATGTTAATGAACTTTTCTAGTTGTTTACCGAAGCGCGTAATTACAGTTTCAAATTTCAGTTGCATTTGGCATGGCGTGATTACATATATATGTATATGTATGTATGTACGTAAAAGCAAGGGATTTATTTATTTAAATATTTGTGTGCTATTTTTGAACTAGAAGAGCAGGTGGCAGGCAGGTTAGTTATTGTTGGGAATAGAGCACTGCGACCCTAAAGACTATTGCAGCCCCGGCATAGATTTATGGCGTTCCAATTAATCTAGTATTCGAAAAAAAAATGTTGTTTGAGGTTAAACCTTTCAACTTCAGCACGACCCTACTAACAAGATTACCCCTGAAGTGTCTTTGGAGTTTGTGCATCAAGTCAGGGCATTGCTCTAACTTTTCTCCTTTCCTATGCTGCAGAAGGACTGTGAGCCGATTTGAAATTACCAATGTGTGCCGAAAACCAGGATGAATGGCACTACAGCATTTCAAGATTACAGCAGTCTGCATCGTGACGAAGTGTCTACTGATGTCGCCTCAATATCGTTACAAGGGCATCCGACGACACCATCTAAAAAACAGCTACTCTAGTTGAATGCATTATTTAGCCAGGCCAAATACCCTTCTTTCGTCCCCCGTTTCGTGATTGTCTGCTCAGAGCTCAACCAACACACAAAGCTAAACACTATAAGCAAAGATTTTCAGCTTAGCCTAGCGCAATTGATTAAACTCCTACATCTCCAGACGGAACCCAGACATATTCAGTATATATCTGTATCTAGATCCCCAGCAGCCCGATATCTGAGTTTACTAGCTAGTTAGGCGATCCGAAAGAAGGAGAACTACGAGGTTATATGTAATCGGATGTAAAAGACTAGTTTACGAACCAATTTCTATTCTGGGTTTCATGTTAGACACACGTTCTGAAACGACGAGTTCCAGGGCCGTGCTGCTTGGGCGAAAGTAAAGGAGAAGTTTTCATGCCGAGCCACTCCGGTGTTATCTACCAATCAAACAGCAATCCCTTGAATCAAAAATGTTTTCACCATTTCAGTTTATTTATTCTCTTTGCAGTGATGGTGTAAGTGACTTTTGAGTATCTGTATTAAGGTTTTATTGCTGATGGGGTTAGTTTGTAGAGGTTCTATTTCTCTCTTTAGCTGCTTTCGTCAATCTGCGTATTATACTTGCTGCAAACGTGCGGACTGCAGTCCATCTGTAGATAGATGAGCATATTTCCTATCATTATAGAAGGGAGCAGCGATCGTCCTAGTTCTACCTCAAGCATTTATCTGTTTTTTTTTTTTTGTTAACGCGATCACAATGAAAAGCAACATGTTCCGCACTTTCAACCCGTTCGGACGATTTGGACAGTACAGTAAGGGTGGTCTGTCAGTTGATAAACTAGGCAGGACTAAGAACATAAAAAAATATATTTTAAATTGTTTCTGATGAGAAATCCGTGCATGCGGTGCTTAATTAGAAGGCAATAGATTACGCTGAAGGATTTTTTAAGTAGTAAAAGTTAAAGCTTTATTCTATATTGATTTGGTTTCTTGATTTTTCCGATAGGGTAGAAAGCTGATTAATTTTGGAATGAATTTTCGTCCTCCCTTGTCAAGTTTGGTTTGAAGACAAACTGGTTCCGACAAGGGATGACGTAAATTTGTTCCAAAATAAATCATCTCTATTCTATAACTCTTCTTCGAAGACGATCGTTTGACGATATTTATTTATTTAGTTTAGTTCCTTTTCAGGTTCACTGCCCATTGCAGCTGAAAATAAATTTAACAAAATACAAATTTGAACGTATGTAAATTCCAAAGAAAAACAAAAATTACAACAAGTGTCCAAAATGCATTTCGCTTACACGCAATTTAACTAACAATGTAGAAAAATTATTAAAATTTCTACGGCTCCCTATTTGCATAAAAGCGAATTGCTGACAAACCACCCCAGCGCTTAATCAACATCGAATGAAGTGCAGTGAAGCAAAGCAAATATAATACAATAACCAAACAAAAATAGTAAACTAACTGACCGCAATTGTAATGAAATATTTATTTATTTTTTTTTTTTTCGTATTTATTCATATCAACTATATAAATATGAATACGTTTACTACACTCATTTACGTTTGCCACTTAAGCATTTGTATGACCAACTTGGGGTTACCCTTGGAATTGATATCAATTTTCGGCACATTTTTATTGTAATTATAAGCGCATTTGTTACATTTTTCCAATTTCGATAGAGAAAACATAAAAATTATTTATTGATAACAACATAAGTACTTGTGAAGATACCACATGCATACTTAAGCGTGGCATTATTGTTGAAGTTGCACGTGTGAAGTGGTCTTTGGGGAGGATTTTATGCGTTGCTGCTGATGAACATTGCCGATGGCACAGTTGAACTAAATATAAAACAAAATGTTGTTTGTGGTGGTTAGGGGCAGTCGTATTGCGGGCATTTGGCACTTTCAGGTGTTGCTAGCCGAAAAACAATGCAAGGGATGATATTGAATATGAGCTGCGTAAAAGTGATACAATAATACACTTAATAGCCTATTAAATGCTATTGAGATTAGTATTTGGGCACGCTTTTGATTTACATGCATGTTTGCAGTGAATTGAATACTTTGTTGATTTTCCAAATTTTTGTGGATATTTTCTACATACATATCTTCCTACACAAAAGTTTGTATAACTTATGCCAAGATTTCAACATGAAATTGACCATTGTCATGAGATGGGATTTACTTGTTTAGAGCTCTCATTGATCACTTCCCTTTTGTGAGCTTTTTAAAAAAAAATTCTTAGTAGTAAATGCTGCAAAGAATTTATAGAGGTACACTCTAAAAAATTTTTGTTTAAATTTGCATTTATTAGGATAGATAACCAGTTTCCTCTCTTAATGCATGCAAATTTACACACTGTGTAATAAAATTAAACACTGGCTGTTTACTTTTACATACTAAATTTGTCGCGTAGGGCAAAACTACACATAAAATATTTAAAACTGAGTAAATATGTATATAGTTATGTGTATATTTTAAACATCTCCTCTTCAAAACCAAATCTTGAACATCTTATGCGTATGTTTACACAGATTCTGGTTGAAAAATATCACTTTTCAGTAGTAGTTTTACATTCCCTTTTTAGAGTGTATGCCAGAAAGATGCAATAACGCATTTTGGCCAGAGTAAATTGCCATTGGAACTAAGAAAAGAGTTGTTGTTGCCACTGTAGTTCAAATCCATGCGTCAAAGTCTTGCTCCAGACGCCAACTTTTACCAGTAGCAGAAGCTGACATGAGTTGCCGCTTTGTGAACCATTTTAGTGATGTTTGGTACCCAGTTTAATTCCTTATCCTAAATAAAGCCTTGATATTTGGCCTGTTCAATCCTCTTCAGTGTTATAGCATTTTGGGTGACATTCTCAAGGAATGGAAAATTGCATGTCCAGGAAAACGTGGTGGAACTCATTCCTAAACCAAAACTAATGCGCAAGTTTTTTTACTAATCCCTGCTTCAAAGCAGTCAAGATTATTACATGAGTACAGGTAGCCACATTCGTAAATTCGTCGGCGTAGGCTAGCACTCTATTGCTGCTTGTTTTTACATTGATAACATCCCCTTGAGGTGTCCGGCTTTTTTTCGTAACTAAGTACACGAAACAACGCGTGTAGCAAAATAGGGGTGGGTTGATATTTTAAGGTCTATCCTAATATGTATGTGTTTATGCAACCGTAATAGATTATTCTCATTATTAATTCTTCCAATAGATCAATTTTCTACTTGCAATATACATAAGTCCGAAAAAGTCTATTTCGAATGAAGTAATATAATTTCTTTCTTTTTATTTCTTTCATTACTTCTCGCAGCAATTCAAATCCTTCATCTGGCCAACTGTCGTCACAGTAATCGTTGTAGCAATGGGTTGTGGCTTCCTTGTGGCGCGATGAGTGCCCAAAATGTGAAGCAGCCGCAGCATCAGCGTCAGCCGCAATACTTACTTACAATTAGAATGAAAAAGCAGCAGAAAAGCAATGCATACAAAAATAATTATTTACACTGAAAAAATAAAAAACAATATATAAACAAAATTGCGAAAGGAAACAAAAACCATGAATAAAAAGTGGCTAAACAACAACAAACACGTGAAATGTATGTTTTGAATGCAAAGAAGGAGTCGAAAAATAAATTTTTGAGGTGAAAGAACCTACACGACAAATGCGGAATGTGAAATTTTGAACGTTCGCAGCGCGTGGAATGAGGCGACTTATACGCCGCGCAAAAGTGAGAACAACCGGAGAGCCGAAACAAAAAGAGAAGCAAATGTGTGATTGAAGAAAGAATACAGTTTTGAAGAATGAAACTTTTTTGAATGAAATGCGTCGATCGATAAGGCGCCATGATTGTATTTGAATTGTAGCATTTAAAGCTTGAAGAGCAGCGGTGCCAAAAGTTTGCCGAAATTGGAAAACTCACATGAAAAGGTGTAAAAGAGAATAGGTTTATGATAGAAGCAGACAGAAAGTAGAGACAGCGCTCGCAATTAGCGACAACGAAACCGAATTTTTAGCAACGAAGCTTTTTTCTTAACTAAACAAACGAATTCAAAGTCGAAACGAAATGGTAGTGAAAGCGAAAAACTAAAAAAATATTTGTAAAGCTGAAGAGAATATTTTTGTAAAATGTAAGATTTTATAATACATAGAAAGAAACTACTTACTTTACCGTATTTAGACGTGGAAATTGTGCAGACAAAAAATTTTTGTATTCTACAACATAAACGGGTATTCAAATTGGCGCTAAATACTTACATACTTGTATAAGCAACTTTTGTGCATAAAGCAAATATTTTTCTACAGTGAGTTTTTTTATACAATTTTCTAATTTTTGACGTGAAACAAATAAGACTGTTCGGTATAAAAAGACAGAATTTGTACTAAAAACTTCAACAAAAATTACTTGGCAATACAATTTTATAAAATAGAAGAGAACTAAATAAAAAAAATACTACAAATATTTTTTGAAGCTTGTTGAAATATGCACTTACTTTTGGATAACAAATTCATAAAACTTGAAGACTAAAAATTGTTAAAAGTGTACAACTTTCGTATGCTAAATTTGCTAAAACATTTAATTTGAAATTTAAAGAAAAAAAATTGTTGTGGATTTTGAAAATTTTTGGAAATTGTAATTCGAAAAAATTGCAGTATTTTTTATAAAATTTTTTAATATGGTATCAAAATATCTATACATATGTATATGTATGTAGGAGCCTGAAATATAAAAAAAAAACACTTTTTAATAAAAGATTTACAATTTTGTATTAAAATAAAAAAAAAATTAAAAGAAGCAAACAAAGATATCTCAGAAATTGAAACTCACATGCAAGGTTATATTTTTCAATGAGCATAAAAAATGTAGTCCTCAAATTTTACAATGACATAAGCTTAACTTACAATAAAAACTAACATATGAAACTAAGTTTTCGAGCAGCAAATGGCTAGGATGTCAATTATCCACAATCATCAACAAAGAAAATCAAAACTTAACAACAAAAAATTTGAATTTCATAAAAAATTTCAGCAAATATTAAACACGGTATATTTTTCAATAATCAAAGCAACCACAAACTGAAAAAAATATATTGAAAAAACAACATCATACAAAAATTAATAAATCATAAAATCTGGTTGTCATAGGTAGAAGTAAAATCCTACTTATTTAATTTGTTTTCTTTTTGAAAAAATTTTTAACTTGAAAAATTTTTCAATTATCTTAAAATACACATATAAACAGAGTTGCCAAAGTAGATAAAGGGTTCGCCTTAAATGGATTACGAAATCGTTTGCACTGAATGTTTTCAAATATTGACTGTGCCGATAATCAAATGACACTTTTTCATACTCTAAGTCCTTTGGAAAAACCCCCTGATGCCTTAGGCCGCGTTTGTCTGGCCAAAAACGGTTGACACCTAGTCCCATATGCAGGGAGTCAGTACGTTTGAGGATCTAACCAGCATCTGAGACACTGCTGAAAATTCCAAATCCAATTGCGCTTTTGTGGCGCTGTGACGGCCTAAGCAATTTTGCCGGGTCCAATAAAGCAAATATAAACCTTAACTTGAAAAGCTCTGTAGCTAAGAGCGGTCAAAGACTTAGCATGTGTAACTGGCGTCCTCAGTTTCAAAAAGAGTTGGGATTAAACAGAGCGGTTTTCGCTATCAAATTAATCACCAACTTTGAAGATTCCTACAGAATAAACGGAGAATCTGACACACCTTCAAGTGACAAAGAGATTGCAATCTGGCTTACGGACTCTACAGTTAAATTACATTAATGTTTTCCAGTTTGAGATCCATACAAAGTAGGTAACACAATTGCCCTTGTTGTTTTCCGTGGTTTAAGCTTTGTAAAGCTTTCTATAGTTTTCCTTGGACGCGTACAGAGAAAAAGCTCTCCCCGTACATTACTGCTAGAGACAGTCAGGCTACCATCACGGCATTCAAGTTTTTAAGACGGCAACCACTAACTTGATATGGTTATGGAAATTCCAGCCACCTCATAGACAGCATATGTCAATCTTAACTGGGCCTCTGCGAATAATGGTGTTTTGGAAAATGAAGAAGCCTACAATTTTTAGAAAGTTTCCAAACTTTCACAAAACTTGTATGCCTTATTCATAAAAATAAAATAGCTTTAAAAAGCTTTTCAAAGTGACATTTTCAAACAAATTTTAGATTTACAAAGCAATTTCAGTTCTTCTTAATTTTTTATGAATTTCCGTGTCAGAATATATATGATTTTTTTCAGTTTCGAGCTTTCAACTTTTTCGATTACAAACAAATCCCCGCAGAAAATTTTGTGGTTTTCGAACCAAAAAAAGCTCTACATAACAAATGCATTTTGCTCAGTACGTTGCAGGTGCGCTAACAATTACTGCATAGAATTAAATCATAAAGAAACGGTGATATTTTCTTTTGCAATGCATCAAAGAATTATAACTTTTTCTGAATAATGCATTATAATGTACTAATTGAATTCATAACATAAGTGAGAAGGTGCTAAAATCTTAATAACTAAAAAACCTTACTCATAAAACTCAATAAGCTGAAAATAAAAATAACAAAATAAAAAAACTAAAATTTGCACTGAAAATTTGTTAATACAGAACTTTTAAAAGTTAAAGTTAAGTATAAAACTTATAAACGAATTTACAAATTGTAAAATTAAAACACTATTTTTTACGAAAATAATTTAAATATTTTCACATAATAAAAATTAATATACTGCTTAAATCTAAAAAAATATCAAAGTCTTCGCTGTAATTCAAATTACAAACACATTTAATGCAATACAATAAGTAATTAAAAAAATAATTTTAAAATGTGTTTAAAAATTTACGAAAAATGCTTTAAAATAAAATAATTAATAAATAAATTTAGTAAATTTTTTATAGTTTACATAGTAAGCACAATTTCATCGATTTCAGTGCTTAAGTAGTTGTAATTTTGAAAGCCATTTTTGTGATTTTTTATTTACGTGTGTTTTGCTGTTAAAAAAGAAGAAAGAAAATTAAAAAAAAAACACATTTATAAACGAATGTTGCTAAGTATTTTCTTGAAAATAGCAAATTTATAACAATTAAAACTCTAAAATATTGTTTAAAATAAAAACAAAAATTAATAATGAGTAAAATAATTGAAAATAGGTTAACAAAAAGCAAAATTAAATAGTTGTAAGTAAAATTATAGAAGACGTAAATTTAAGTTGCAACTTCAAAAGAAGAAAAAAAAACGATTTTCAAATTGGTCTCAATATTTTTTTGTAATAAATAGTTATAATTTTTTAAACATAATTTCGTATGCTCTTAATATTTTATAAAAACGCCTTATTGCTATACATACGTATATTTGTGTGAAGGAGTTTTTGTGGAAAAAAGTTCAAACGATTTTTTATTTAATCTTAAAAGCACTTCGTGGGAAACATATTTCCAAGAATTTCCAAAATGAATAGAGCTTTGAAGCTTTGAATTTTGTTGGGCGAAATCTTTATTAAAAGCTTTTAAAGTTTTTAGTGCGAAAGCTGCTAACTTTTGAGCTTACACGCGTGTTTAGAACACGTCTTCGAAAATACTTTAAAGCTTGTAACTTTACAAGGCTCACAAAAATCAAAACTTACCTGCTTCAACTTTAAAGCAAAAGAGTTTTTAAATTCCGATTCAGAACTTTTGCAAATTCCATTTATTGATGGTAACGTTAGCATTAAAACTAAAGGTCTTATATATTCTGATGCAGAGATTTCACAAATTCGTGTGTAGAGACACATTTGGTAAAAGCTCTCTCTATCCATTACAGATTTCAAAAGCGGGTGTCGTTTATTTTGTTACCGAATTTCTGCAAAACGGGGGTTATTTATTAGAGCTTCATTTAATTTTTATAATTAATCACAATTTCCAATTTCGCCGTACTGAAATTTTGGAGTTTTCGATACATTTTGTATTCATAAGCGGATTGGAAATGCTCTCTCTACCCATCGCTGCTTAAGACCAGTCACGCCGAATCCCGCGATATAAGCTTTTTGCCGCTTTTTACATTTTTCATATACCCTGCCCGCGGGTAAAGCTCTTTTAAGTTTTCTATAAATTTTTTATAGGCGCGTGCAGAGTAAAAGCTCTCTCTGCCCATCGCTGATATAGACCATAGCTGCTGGTAAGACGTGCAGAGTTTTTCAGAGCTTTTTATTTATTTTATATAAAACGGTGTTTGGGGAGAATTTTTTAACTTATAGACATTTTGTATTGATGCTTGCCGAGTAGACGGGAATGGAACAAAAGCTTTTTTCTGGCCAAACTTAAGTAAGTGGCTGCAGATTTGGCAAGTTTTTTTAAGATTTCTGTTTATAATACTTATTAGTTTTTTGCGAATAAACTATTAGTAAATAAAAATTCACAAAAACGACATCACTGACAAATGTTAAAGTAGTAAGTGGTTTCCGCGCTGATTTTCAAGTAGGGAAGTTTGAAAAATTAAAATTTCTGATCTCAGTTTCACAGTAAAAATCTTAAATTTATAAAGAATACATGGATCTCTTGTACCAAAGTCAGATAATTAGCGAAAGAGCATTTTCGGATCAAGTTACGTTATTTTATTAAATATAATAAATAAAGGATGATATTTTCGTAAATAAAATTACAAAACTTTTTCAGCAAGTTGCGTTTATAAAACATCTTCAGTCGGCTTCAGAAGTTTTTAAGAGCTGTTAAAATAGTTTGCATACACTTTTCGTTATAGTGCAGTCAAAACGCTGAAGCGAAGGGATTTTTAAAGATCTCTATAAACTTTATACCAGTTATGACCATATAGAGCTTTTACTCTGTGAGCTTAAATATCAAATCTAT